ATTGCATTATTGTATTCAGGGACCTAAGAAATTTTGAATTAAGTAAACCTACTTAACTGTATTTAACCCACAATTTCCCAAAATTATTCGCAATTTTCCCTAACAACACCCAATAACATCACAAAACTCTTTGCCATAGAGACATTTTAGAATTTCCCTCTATATGGCAACCTTCATGAATTGTATCTCCCTGACCATAAGTTAATTATATCTACCAGATGTGTGATACTGACAGCCAGAACCAGGGTGAGCCCAGTCTCCACTCTTCATTGCCCACCATGGCTGCTTTCCTGATCATTAGTTTATCAGCAAAGATGCCTCGTTCAAGAGATTAGAAGAAGAATTTAGGTCACAGCAGTAATTTTCTTTTCTCTGAATTTGGTATAGAATTTAGGTAACTACCTTCTGAGCTGGAAGGAGAGAATAGAGATTAATAATTATTCTCCACCACTATGCTTGCTCTGAAATCTGTGTCAGCACATTTAAAATAAGAGAGATAACAGGATAGTTTTTACTACTCTAATTTAGTTTCTAAACTGAAAGGAAATAACCTGATTTTAAAATATCTGTGCATTAGAGCGCTATGAAAATACCATTATTGAACAAAATGATATAGGGAAAATAAATAACTCTATCAGATTTCAAAGTAGCTTTTTAAAATTCTATAGTAAGCATAGATCAGAACTATAGGAAGTGAACATGCAACACATAAATAAAAATTCATGCAAAAACAGGAAGACTGAAATTTCAAACACTTTATTTATTTGGCACACACAGGACTGATGCTTTGTGCATGGTAGGCAAAAGATAATTTTAAAATAGTAGAGGGCAAGCTCAGTGGCTCGCTCCTGTAATCCCAGCACTTTGAGAGGTTGAGGCAGGAGGATTGCTTGAAGCCAGGAGTTTAAGACCAGCTTGGGAAACATAGAGAAGTGTTTCACTTTTTAAAACAAATTAAATTAATGTGGTCTGAAATATTTTTATTCTAGCTTCCTAGATGAGAACTTCTTGACCTTGGGAAGTTAGTTTTCAGTGACATAACTATGAAATAGAATCTGGACATCTTATGAAGCTGCTTTCAGATTCATATTATATATTCTATAACCTATATTAACTGAATACTCATAATTACTTAAGTATAACTTTAGCTATTTGGGAAAAAACATGTATAAAAGATCTAAACACTAATTTAAATGCTAGAAAATTAAAATATGGTTTCAAAGTATGATAATTATTCATGATAAAAATTTCCCAAGAAATTATGGATCAATTACTAATTGTGTGAAAACAGATAATAAATCTATAAGTCTCAAAACAGATTTTTAAATAATTAAAACATGGGAGTTTTCAAGAAATTTCTTGGAGAAAAAAATGTACAAGGTCTGAAGGCAAGATTCAAAAAGACTCCTTGTAGATAAATCTCCAGCTAAGAAATCTTAAAATTGGTAAGTTATTTGTAGGCAGAAAGAGGAAGGAAATGAATACAGAATTACTGAAATAGCCTGTTCAAATGCCTAACTTCCAACAATTTCATACCCCTTTAAAAAGAGAAACTAGTCTAAAAGTGGTGTATTAGTTTGAACACAATAATGCATACACAAACACATATATATACATACACCTACAAATACAAATATTCCTGTATCTACCCAGTTCCTTCAGGCTTTATAGCTTTCTGCTTGCTTGTTATTTAACTGATGACTGCTGTATGCTTTCTACATGTTATGCATTAAATTACATATCTAACCCTGCAAAGATATGTTGAAGTCCTAACCCCTGGTACCTGTGAACGTGACTTTATTTGAAAATAGGGTATTTGTAGATATAACTATGATGCAAATTAAAAGGAGGTCACATGCAGTAGGGTAGGCCTTAATACAATACGACTGGTGTCTTTACAGTGTTGCGGCAGTGTATATAGCTAGCGTTACAGCTCTTGTTATTCATTTGACCGGGGAAAGAACCGAGTGGCACATGAAGAGTCTGAGAACAGCCTTTATTCTTCTACAGCAGGCTCAGCACACCTAGTGTTACAGCTCTCTTCATGCCTTCCAATGTTTTCCCCCTTCTTGCCCTTCTGCCCCTGCTTTTATACCCTTGGTAGGGCTCAAGAAGCGTCCAATCAACTACAAACTTTAACATCCAATCAGCAACAAGCTTTAACATCCAATCAACAACAAGCTTTAACATCCAACCAAAAACAGCGGGATTCAAAAATTACCCAATCAGGATCACACAAGCAGCATGGCTGGAAACAGGCAGCGGCATGTGGGCCTGGGGTCCCTGTGGCACGCGGGGTCCCGGGGGCACTCGGGTGTCTGTGGGCAGCTGTGTGCCGCAGGGCCCAGCCCCAGCAGCGTGCCTCCAACTGGCCACGTGCAGCACTGGCCCGTGGAGATGCAGAACCACTGGGAGATGGCAAGCGGCTGCGTCCCGGCACCCGCCATTTTCCGCATCAACAGGAGAGAAGAAGAGAAGAGGCACAGTAGGAGAATGCCATAAGAAGACTGAGGTAGAAATCTGGGTGATGCATCTATAGGCCAAGGAATACTAAGGATTACAGGCTGTCACCAGAAGCTAGAAGACAGGCCAGGGACAGATTCTTCCTCAGAGCTCTAAGAGAGGACCAACCCTGTTGACCCCTTTATTTCAGACTTCTAGCCTCCAGAACTATGAGCCAATAAATTTCTGTTCTTTGAATCCAACACTTTTGTGACACTTTTCACAGTAGTACTTGAAAACTAATATACTGTGTGAAGCTGGACACATAACAATTCTAGAAAAGTCCTTGTTTACTTATGTTAATTCTAATACAATTTAAAGGGTAAGGCTTATTTGATTCATCAATTCAAATTTAGGTATGAAATTGTTACTGTTAGGTTTAAAGAATTTATCCACCCCAAACTTCCATCCAAACCTTCTATAAAACCCACCACTCTCCCCTTCCTAGGGTGTATTAGGCATATACACTAGAGTGTATAGCTAATACACATAGGGTGTATTAGCCTTTGCCAGGCTCCTAGGGAGATAAGGGAATGAAATGCAAAAGGGGAACTTAACTTTCCTTTTCCCTCCTGATAAGGACTACCATTATCCCTCCTGATTGTTCCCTAGGGAGATAAAGGAATGGAATGTAAGTGGGGAACTTACTTTCCTTATTCTTCCAGGTTGTTTGAAAATTATTTACTCCTCCCAGAAAAATTCTCTATAAAGCCCAAGGCTCTCCCCTTTTCTCTTGTCTACTTCTTTTTCAGCCTTCACCTGTTGAGAAATATGATTGAAGAATTAATAAAATGTGGCTTATAAGACCCTTATTTTATTGTTTAACCCAATATTACTATGTTAAAGACAGAAACAGGAGGTTGCAGGGTTTTGCCCTGAAGGAATGTGTGGACTCAATGGTTCACTTATTAGAGGCTGATATCATGAGAGAGCTCTCAAATCTCCGGTAGGGATGTTTTCCAGGAAGGCTTCCCAGTATCTCAAAATCTGTGAGCTTCCCTGTGTCTTGAAAGACAAGACAAGGCAAATATGGCCCACAGAATGGGAGCTGGAGACAATGAGTGCACTTTGCCCAGAGAAGCGCCCCGGTTGTTATAAACAACCTGTCTATTAGAGATGGGCTTCCTGCTCTCCCCTGTCTGTCTACCTTTAAGTACACCATAACTAATCAAAGTAATATAGAGTCACTATACCTCTTTTGTTTTACCTTTGTCAATTGACAACTACCTCTTAGAACTTAGAAGTTAGCCCCTGAAAGACTTTGTACTTATTTGTTCACCTAGATAGATTAAAAGCCACTTGAGAGGACTTTTGACCCTAACCCACTATCTGTATCCCCTAGTAACTTCATTCCCTGATATGCAAATATGTTACCCTGAAAACTGGTAATTGATGTTTGTTATTATAAAAGCGTGTATGAATCTAACCATATTGCTGGAGTTTATGGAGATATGCCAGTCTCCTAGGTATTCCCCGCTGGGTTATATCTGATCTTCTTATATATATAAAACTATAAACTATACTTTAGTTTCTGTGTATTCTTTTATTTCTCTCTGTTGACTATCAATTTCCTTATCCTCTGTGGCGACCCCTATCTTACGGATTTGGCTCCGTGGGGAGAAGTAGCTAATCTCCTCGCAGGCCTGCCTCAAATACTACTCCCCTGCATCCATCCATCTGCACTCAAAAGCTCAAAATAAACAGCATTTTGCTACACATGAGACTTCGTGTGCCTCTCTCTTGGCTCTGGACCTAATAGTAACCATACACCAAAATGTTTAAGAGTTTCCACTTTCTTATCTAACTAGAGGGATATATTCTAAAACACTTTCTCTTTTTTAGAGAAAAGTTAATAATCCTGACTTCTAAAAAAAACAGGATCTATAATGTGTAAAAGACTGATCAGATACTGAGGTTAGTAAATTATAAGTCTGAATTTTTATCTGGTCCTTCCTTAGCTCTGCTAAGTTGTGTCAGTCTTTTCTGAGTTTCCAGTGTCTCATCTGACTCATGGTACTATTGACAGGATAAATGATATCAGACTAGTAAGAATTCTAGGAAAGTGTAAAAGTGTCATGATTTTTTTCTCGTCATTTTTTAAAATAAAGAAAGCTAGGAAAGAAAAAGTTATTCTTGTTGTGGAGGAAAAAATATTCCTTGAAAATTTGGATTGGTCATAATTTATATTAACTGATTGGTATATGTCATGCTGGAGAGAAATGACACTTCATTCTTGGCAAGATATTTGCTAACAACAAAGGTTCTTGTTGTCACAGGAGATAGTATTTGAATATTGTTGGCTTTTCTGGTCACTGTAGCTAATGTTTTATAAACCTGGACCACTTCCAAAGGAATGCTGGGACACCAGGAAGAACATTGTGTGGTGTTATTGCTTTACCTCAATTTCACAGCTTTCACAATGATGCTAGGTAGAACAGATCATTGAAACTCAATCCCCTTCTCTTTATTTGTAACAATATTATTCACCTTCTTTACAGAATTGTTTGATTTTTAACGCTTCATGACCACCATGTTAAAACAGCTGAAAGTTTCCAGAACCGTAAGTCGAACCAATTCTTCTTCACATCATCCATTGCAAATAATATGACTTTAGGGTATCAGGGAACCACAATGGGAAAAAAAGAAGAACAAAGATTGTTTTTGCTTTTATAGCCCTTTGCTCTCACAATTCAACAGTAAATCAACAGTGAACATTTGGTTTGCCTGAGGCAAACATGAAATCCGCTTGCCTGTTTGGAGCTTATATTGTCTTTTATTCTTATCTGATAACTCATCAACATAAGCACAAACTCTCCTCTCTTAGAGACCCTCAGTACCAGTGGTCCTCCCCACGGAATTTATTCATTTCATCAAAACGATATAAAATTCGGCTGCCCAATTTTGTATTCTTGAGGAATATTGGTAATCTAGTTCAAAAGAAAACCACAGAGAGGAATTCATTGCTGCACAAAGATAATTTCCCCTACAGCTAATCTTGTTTTTATTCAGACATAGAAACTTTCCTTCATGAGGCTATTGTTCTCTCAAGGGAGAAGACAAGTTTGTTGAGGGAAAACCATCTGACTCAACAGATATTTAAGCACACAAGTGAGAAAACTTTTATTTTAGATAATTGAATTGCCAGTAAAATCTGAGGGTCCCTCTGTCATACCTCTATTCGATACCAGATTCAAGCTTACTAGTGACACAGGAAAATATCAGGACAATGGAACAGATCAGCAGTGATCTGAAAACACGGTACGACAGGAGGAAGCAAAAGCCAAGAGCATGGTGTCTCGAAACCCAAACTGATAGGCCTGATTGAACTCATCTCGGCTTCATAAAGCACCACTCTGATTTGTTGAAGAAGGATACTGAGAACTTAGCTTACCTATATTTCCTTTTCTACTCTTTGTTTTTCCTGTAGGTTAAAAAAAAAAACCAAAACTTCTGAAAATTATTTACTTCATAAAACAATAAATCTATTGTGGGCCCAAAGGATACACAGGGGGTGAAAACATACAAATGAATTCCAATGTATTCTCACCACAGCTAATGAAATGGCTCTATCACCCATCCATGAGGGCAAATAAATGCAAATTGTTGTAAACAAAATGTTGATTAGGGCTTCTGATATGTCCCACTACTGAGAGGAAGGGGAATTACAGTCTCACCCTCCATTTTAAAGAGAGCACAAATAACCAGGCATTGACCTCAGGGTTTGTGGTAATATCAAAATTCTCTGTCATTCTCTCCATAAAGAGGTGGTGGTTCTGTCTCTTTTTCTGGAACATGCCAGGCATTACTGACTATTTTGACTAATGGGATACTATGGAAATGACATATCAGTTTCTTTGCCCAAACTGCCGTTGTGAGGAAGCCAAGCAGCCCTGTGGGAAGGACCGTGTGCCACGGAACTGTCACCAATGCTCTGGCTCAGCACACAGCTGGGGACCAACTTTCTAGCCACATTGATCAAGCCACCTTTGGGACTGTATCCTCCAGCCCCAGTCCAGCTGCTCTAGCTGATGCCACGTAAAGCCCTGTTCGAATGTTCCTAACACAAAGAAATGATAAATGCCTGAGGTGATGGTTACCCTAATTAGCCTGATCTCATTAATTCACATTACACACCTGTGTCGTATCAAAACATCATATGCATGCTATAAACACATACAACTATTAGGTACTTATAATAACTAAAATTTTTAAAAATGTAGATGTGTGAGAAAAAGAAATGATTTTTCTTGTATTAAGTCAATAAATTTTTGGGTGGGCTGGTACACAGCAATAGAAAACCAGAATAGATAGCCAGTTAGGAGATTAGCCAAACTGGCTCTGCTACCCTTACTATAACTCCAGAATTTCCCTTTAACTTCTAATGAAAATTTTAAAATAAAAAAAAGGCTAGAGAAAACATAAAGGAGAGCTCGCTCTCCGTCTTGGAAATAACTGACCCTAATTCTCTGTATATAGTAAGTGAAGGGTGGGAGATAAGGTCAGAGAATAGGCTTAAAATTTTCACAGCACTTACAATAAATGAAAATATATCTCATTTTCTAGTTATAGTATTTTTTAAAGTATGACAATATGGTCTTGTTATTGTACTGTAAATAGGATGTGAGGAGGGAAAACCCACTATAATTTTGTCATTGTCTACTGACATTTGGTGGCATATGTAGGTAGAGAAACTTGTGCTCACATTTCTGAATATTTGTGAAGGCAAAGGCTTGCTAGAGAATCTTAAAACCACAGGATGAGTAGGGACAGTAGAGCAGTGTTTCTAAGAAAAGAAGAGTGAGAGAGAAGTGCTCTCCCAAGTTTCCACAGCTTTTAGAGGCTTCAGAAAAAAATAAAAAAGGGTTTCCTAAGAATATCGGCAGCAAAAGAGGATTAATGAAGCTAAAAATTGACCCCCATCTTTGCAGAATACTATTTCAGGGGTAGTGATGAATGACAAAGAGAGCCAGACCAAATCAGACTTAAACTTGGTGCATTTCACTACTTATATGTGCTCAGTTTTTAGAAAGAGCTTTGCTATATACTTTTTTCCCCTTCTCAGCCTATAACATCAGAAGGGTTATACCCTGAAGATGAAGAGAGAAGAAAATAATAATAGGAAAAGACATAGCCCCAATATACTGTCCTCCACTGAAAAATGATGAAATCGTGAAAGAATAGATCTTATCTCCTCCCCACTCCAAATTCCTGGGACTGAACCTACTGTGTAGCTGCTGAGTGAAGAAAGATGACATATGATTTGAATTGAATTTTATTTGGAGGTTTAAACATACGGTTACATTGAAATAAATAGCAGAAATTGTGTATGGGGTGTCTAGAAAATCATGTCATTAAAGAATTTACTATTCATTATGGAAGAGAGATTCAATATTCTTGAGTTGAGGATAAATTTAAAAAGACATAAATAAAAACAAACATGAGCAAAATTACTCAAATTTATACTCACAGGATTTATACTCACTGTTAGGTAGAAATAAACCAGTTGTGCTGCATATCTAAAAATCAAAGTGCAGTACAATAGATCACATGGGGCATAATATTCATTATTTTACAAGCAAAACCAGTGACAACCAAGACGTATCTATGCAACTGGTATGATTTGCATCACTAGTTGAAGATTGTCATTGTCAGGTTTCCCTCAAGACAATAATTCAAATGCAGTAATTTATTTAGGAGTTATTCCTAGTAAATACCTTCAGAGGAGTTGGGAAGTGAAGCAGAAAAGGGTAGGAAGCAAATTAAACAAGAAATTATTGTGGACTACTGCAACTTAATCCAACTAGGAAAATCTGAAGAGCCGGAGCTGGACTATTATTCCACTGACTCTTATCAGCAATTGATCGAAGGATTTTCGGGAGAAAAGGTTGCCCCAAATTTCTAATTGCCCTGAATTTCTAGCTTCAGCAGGCTCTGGTGGCTAGATAAAGTTCTCCGGCAAAGAGACATAGGACAGCCAAACTCAGGCCACTTTGCTTTAAAGTAGTAAAGTCTGAATCTGGATGGGTCCCTGACAACATCTGCTGCAATATACTACTTGTACCATTTATATATACCAAGTTATATATACCAAGTTATATATATACCAAGTTAATTTTACTCTGTCTTCTCACATTCTTAAAGGTTGCTTCTGTTCAACTTTCTTTAAAAAACAAACAAACATAACTTATAATAGCATTACTGGGATATCCATGATATGCAATGTTTCCTATTGAGTGCTGTAATGGCCCAAAGGCAGCAATATCCATCATGTTTTCCTTATATTCCCCTCATTCACAACCAGCAGTTTTGCTGGTCTAGATTACTTGCATGGTGGAATTTGAGCCGGGGTGACCCTGCCCATGTCAGGCAATGGTATAGTTGTCACTAGTCATGGAAACATCAATCCCATTAGTTCCAGACATCTTTTTTTCTCTTTCTCTCTCTCTCTCTTTTTTAATGTAGTAGCATGATCAAATTCCCTTGTCAGTTTAGTGACTCTTTTGATTTTTTGATTTCTGGTTTCCTGGCATAAGGAGCTCAAAGTGACCAGGGAGCCACCACGGCTTTGGCTTATTGTGTTCTCTGGGTAAAAAGTGCCTTTCAGTGACAAGAAGCTTTGATCGAGCAGAACTTACACTTACAGGGAGAAGATGCAGAAATTCCACGTGAGGTTCTCTGGGAATGATAGGAAAAGGTTTCTTCTACTTCTAACTCGTAGATCCCAAACCCATACATTACACACAGTGGATATATCAACATATACTTGAAACTGTCTAGATGAAAAAGCAAACATTAACCTCTAAATAAAATATAGACTTTGAATTGAAACACAGCTAAGTTCTGAATCATTTGCTCTTTAACACACAATTACTTATAGAATGACCTTTAGCCATTTTCCTTATAATTGTCTACTGCCAATAAGTCACATAGACCCTGTCACAAGGCACTAACTTCCCATAATCATTTCCGTAAGATAACATCTTTAATGTTAAGAAACCTCAAGTTCTCCATTTGAGATATTTTCCAGATCCTGCATTTCAATCTGTCCACTAACACCAGCCACTCTGAAGATCCCCTTCCAGGAATGGACTTGGCACAGAAATGTTGTTTCTTCATCTTCCTGTGCCATGACTTCACCCCTCACCTCTCAACTCATCAGCGATCCCCAGCACCTCAGCTCTTTACCCACCAAACTTCCCTTAAAAACCCCAGTCCAAGACCCCATCATAAAGGTCGGTTTGAAATTCCCTCTAACGTCCTCGCTCTGTAGCCCTCCGATTATTAGACTATTAAAAGCTTTCTCTGCTGCCACAACTGCTGTTTAGTGTAATGCTGTTACTAGGTAATGGCTGAGACTCTGACGAGCCTATAACATACTGCCTGTTGGGCTTTAGTATACTTTTCATCTTGAAAAGCATTTTCCCAACTAGGAGGATATCATAACCAAGTAACTGGCAATGCCTTTAAGAATCCATTCCGATGCTCTATCAGGCTAGCAGTTTTCCTGGTGATATAGTACATGGTACTAAGACCCCTTAAGCATACTGTGACAGATTTGTACCAGTACTTCAGTTATTATCTCGGATTTGAAACCTTACTCTAGTGACCTCTAGTATCAATCACAGTTCAAACTCTTTTCAACAATCCTCAAAAGATTTGAGTATTCCCCTTTCTCCAGTGTACAATTACTCTGGCAGATGGTCACAGGTCTCTTTGATATAGATTGGAATAATTACCACTTTTTATATATGTTATAGCATTAAAGGCACTGGCATCCCGTTGATCAAAATGTCCTGCATCTGAGGAATAGCTCTGGCCTGAAAATTGAACCACGGATTGTGATTTTCCACTATGGCAGCTGACATTCGTTTTCTGCTCCCCTGCTCTTTAACTTTCTTCATTATAGGATTCAAGAAACACACTCAGTGGCCGTCCATTTACCTTTCACTTAAGAACACCATAGTTGATTAGCCACCCACGGATCCCTGGAGGTCAAGGAGTGTCATTTCAGCCTTGCTACTGTTACCATAATTATGCCCACCTTATCTCTGATGGTTAAGTGCTGAAATATGGCCTCTGTTCTTTCAGAATCCTATCTTCCTGAATGACATTATATGATCCAGTTACTTAGAAGCCTTTCTACCTCAATCCCAGCCTGTAGGGGACGGCTACTACTGGTTTTTCAATCATACTGATGGCTCTTTAGTAGTACATTCCTTATTGCTTTAGGGAAGTGATTATCCTTAGAGCCCTCTTGGAGATTGGAGTCAGCTGCTGGGTTCTCTAATCTTATTTAATAAATCTTCTCTAGTTTTCTGCCCTCTCAGCCTTTGTTCTCAAGGCAATTCCAGCATTTCTACTTTATTTCCACTGATCACCTAGATTTTGTCTTTTTGTTTGGATTTGCTTTATTTTGTTTTAATTTATTGTACTTGAAGAACCCATCCCACCAGCATATCAGAGCTAGATCCAGATATTCTTGGCAAGATATTAAGTATGAAATTGTATTTATGAAATGAATGAAACCCAGTTACCAATGAATTCTATTTTATTCAGCCTTATATTCAGCCCCCGTCAACCTCGAACCATCACAATCCATTCTGAACTTGATCTCTTGATTCTGGTTTGTTTCCAATAGCTAGGTTCTCTTGCTCTATTGATGAATAATCCCTTTCTTCATAAAGCAGAGACAGTGCTTCCCTCATTGTGCCATAATGATGATTGATCCTATATATATAAACCTGGAAGTAATGAAGAGAAGTGGGAGGTTTCACCTTATCAGGCATCTACCTTCTATAGTACCTTGCATAGTTGTTAGGCAAGGAGTTAGAGATCCCCAATGAGTGGACCCTAAAACAAGAATTTATGTGCAATTTGTTTCTTTGAGAGCTGATTTTAAGAAACAGTGGATGTGGGGAAAACAATTGAGGAAGTGCACTGGATTCAACAGTGTCCCCCCAAAAAAGAAGGAATATGACCTTCTTTGGAAATAGGGTCTTTGTAGATGTAAGCAAGATGAGCTCATACAGGGTTAGGGTAAGCCCTAGATCCATAACTTGTGTCTTTATAAAATAAAGGGGAGGAATATTTACATATGGGGACACAGAAGGGGACATAAGGAAGAAGGTCATCAGATGATGGAAGTAGAGATCCACGTAGTGCAGTTGTAAGACAAGGAATGCCAAGGATTGTTGGCAGCCATCATATCAAGGCTTTCCTACTTCTGACCTCCAAAACTGAAAGAGACTAAATTAATACATTTCTTTTATTTTTTCAGCAAATGTGATTGCAAAATTTCTGTTTTTTTAAGTCATCCAGTTTATTTGTTTCTTACAGCAGCATTTGCAAAGTAATACAGGCAGGGAAAAAACGTAAGCCAATAAATGGCATGTTTTTAAGCTCTGAGCCTGAGCACTGGAACTTAATCCCACCTGGGAATTTTGTGTACCAGTGGAATGTGCATTCCTTAGTTATTCCTCTTGCTAAGTACAGAAGTTGGGTTAATTATCCACCAATTCCCATTGGTTGAATGCTGCTTTCCAGGGGGTTCTTTTATTGCCCAATACTTTGAAACTGCAATGTACTGGAGTAGAGCCTACTCCGGTGGTCAGAGAGAGTCAGTCCTCAGTCAAGAGAACAGAAAAACTGGCAGTTGGAACTAGGGCCTATATGCATGGAAATGATAAGGGCCAGTGGGATATAGATAGGACACTACAGTGTCTGCCAAAGATATTCAAATAAATCCATGTTGTTTAATATTATTCAAATTACAAGGACCATTCAAATTCAAATCTTCCCCTACCTAACTTCCCAGAACTCCTGGGCTCAGTTGGTCTGCACTGGGTAATCTAGAAGGCTAGATTTTGGCTGCAGTAGCTTTTGTTGTGATTTTTGTGGAAAACCAGTCTTCTGCAATTCAACAAAATCTTGCTCATTACTCTATTGGTGCCTTTTATAATCAGGTTTTCTCATGAACCTCAGCAGTCTTTCAATAAAAAAAAAATGCCATACCTATTGGATTACTTTCAGTCTCCTCCAAACAGATGGTGGTTATTTAGTCCCCACTCCTGTGTACAACCATATGCCAAAGTGTTCCTCCATGCCAGGGTGGTTATCTCAGCAGTTCCCAGACCAGCCACACGTTGTGGCAGAGCCAGTCTTTAATTTCCCTTTGGCCCTGGTGCTGAACCTGGATTACCTGCCCATACCCTCAGTTCCCTCGAGGTCATTTCCATTACATAGTTCCAATGTCTCTCAGTTGGGATAAACTTTTTTTTTTTTTTTCAATCACAAATGTCCTAATAAGATCAGAACTTAAAGAAGATGTCTATTCTACTCTTAAGGAGATCTCTTGGCTTTGCA